CCCCAGCTGACCCGCTCAGACAGACCCCCGTGGGCTCAACCCCGGCTCTGCTCCGTCCCACATCCATGCCCCGCACAGCTGCTGCAGGGCAGCAGGCAATGGTGCTAACCAGACCCGCTGCCCCCATGACCTCCCCACAAAGGACAACTGCCGCAGGCCCTTAGCATCACCCCGGGACCCTGCAGCACAGGTGGGGATCGCGGCCTGGCCTCGGGGCTGCCCGGAGAAGGCGGAGGAATGGATGGGGGGTAACTGAGTTGCAGCACGGAGACTGGGGTGTGCTGCTTGTGCCCTGTGCAGGCGTCAAGCCCGAGCCAGGCCAGCAGCTCGTTGCATCCACCCAAGCTGCAGTCACGGCTCTGCCCATGAGCATCCTCCAGGCTGAGCTCAGAGGATGGGGCCCAGCACCACGGGGGCACCTCCACCCATGCTGAGCCTTGCTGCCCTGCTTGGCTCCCAGGACAGGAGGGGAATCAGCCCCTTGATGCCCAGGGGATGAGCAGTCCTGTCGGTCCAGGCTCAAGCCCATGCAGGGACAGAGCCTGGGCCGACACTGCTATCCCGTGGCCAAGGTCCATCCCTCCATCCCTGTGCCGGCTGGGAGAGGTCCCCAGCGGAAAGGACTGTCAGGATGGCGAAGGATGCGAGGGAAGGAACTGCTCAGCACACACCCAGGTGCTGGGCCACTGGGCACGGGGCCAGCCGGCCACTCCTCCACGCCTGTGCTTATTATTGCAGGACATCCGTCCATGCCTGGCCCTGCCCCAGGCCTCCCTCCCAAAGGCCCCGACACCCAGGTGCTGGTGTGGGAACATCGGCCTTCACGAACGCGGCTGATATGGAGCTGCATGGGTGCAAGTGCTAGGATGGGCACGGGTACAACGGGGAGCAAGGAACAGCAGCATGGGGCACCAGCAAACCAGGGCAAGGGCACTGCAGAAGGGAAGGGGCTGAGTGCAAGCGGCTGCTAGCCTCTTCCACACTTTCAATACCAGCACAAGCCTGCTCGCTGCAGCCCTACCAGCACGGAGATGCCTCTTGCTGGGTTAAATCCACTCCCCGTATCCCAGCGTCACCCCGGGGGGAACGGGAAGCCGACTGGTGCAGTGCAACAAGGTGCTGCCCTTGTGAAAGCAGCACGCGGGCACAGACCCACGTCCTTCTGCAACCCCCGCGCATGCCGACAGGGAAGAAAGGAGCCAGCGAGCATGCGACTACAAATGGAGAACCCCACTTTATTCGCCGTTTGTTCAACAGGGCCTTCCAGCAGTGCGGAGGAAGCGCGCCCTGCTCCGCCGCAGATGGGAAGAGCAGGGGGGCCAAGACACAGCCGACGTCCCTCCCTCTCTCCCGCCTGCCCCAGGATTCCCGCTCGCCGCGGTCCGGCACAGAATACCATGCAAAAATAAAACCGGGAGCCCGCGGCGGGGCCCCCTCTTTAGTCAGTAACAAAAGCTAAAAGAACGGCTTCAAAGAGCCCACCGAGTTCGCATCTCTCTCTCCCTTTCCCCAGCCCCAAGCGACCCTCCAGAGCAGAGGAGGATGGCAAGCGGAGGGTGGTGGGTAGGGCAGGGGGGTTGGCAGCAATATGTCCCAAGCCCGTGCGGCTCCAGTGAGCTCGGTGACCGGGATCGTAGGGTGGAGCAATAGGAAAGGACTGAGCGAGTTAGAGCCGGTGGTCCCAGGGGTCTCTACTGGCCTCCGAGGTGCCAGCCGCACGTGCGTGCTGTGGGAGGGGTGCCTGCTTGGAGCCGGGAGAGGGATCCACTCCCACCGTGCCGCCTGGCACCCGCCTGCTATTGCAACACTGATGAGATGAGACTGGGGGGCACCACGGGCCCGGGGTCACGCGTCCTCCTTGCATGGGGGCTCCCCTCTTCACTCAAACTATCGAGGGTGGGCTTCAGTGCCCCTTTTCTTCCTGCCTCTGCAGGGCAGAGATGCAAGGATCTCACCCTCCTTCGCCCTTAGCGGACTCAACCCTGAGGGTCTCCTCGTCTCCCATCCCTCAGCCAACATCTCTACCAAACCAGATGGCTTCCTTCCGCGTGCCATCTCGCCCAGGCCTCAGCAAACACGGATGGGCCAACTCCACCCCCGATGAGCAACAAGCCATCGGGCTGCTTCATGCTCCAGGATAAACCAAGTGCCCCGGTTCATCGTTAGCAGCTGGCTCCCGTTCACACGGGCCCCGGGACAACGGGAGAAAGAAAGTAGGAGAAAACCTCAATACTGAGACATCGGCAGTAAAAATCACAAGGCAGAGGGGAGGGGAAGAGAGAGAGAGAAACAGGCCACAATATACTTATCCCATAATTAAAAAATAAAAAGAGAAGCGCTCGTCTCTGGTCTGGAGACAGACCGAGCCGAAGCCCACAGTTGTCCACCTGTGTGTGTGTGTAACAGTGAATGAGACCAAGTCAAAACCTCGTCTCTCAGGTACAAAACTCTGGCACCAAAAGAACAAAGAAAACCACATTATTAAAATACTTTCAGGTTTCGTATTCAAGAGGCTCCACGTTCCCAGCGTCCTCCGGGCTGCTGACCGCCTGCCACGCCAGAGCCCGCCGTCCTCCGAGCGGGCGGGCACGTGAAGTAGAGCCTGCGCCGGGCACCGTGTGATGGGGCACCTCAGGCTTTGACCACAGAAAACACCACGCGTGTAAAACATTGCAATGCAGGAGGGAGGGGTGTAGGGACCGGCTCTCCATCCTCCTGCCCTGGCAGCTTATCCGAGGAGCACCTGTCCCTTGGCTCCTCTCATCCAGATACAAGACTTGGCGGGCAGGGAGGGAATGATCAGTGACAAACTAAATATGGGCAATGCCAAAGTCTTCAAAAGCTTTTTCCCGAGAACACCAAGACATCTCTTCCAGCGTTTGGCGCCAGGCCACGGGCAAGCCCAGTGACCACCAGTTCCCCCAGCTTGGAACTGGATTGCAGCGCCGGGCGAGAGCTGCTGTCCAGCCCCTGGATCCCAACAGCAGGTTGTGCTCCTGCCACGAGCCATCCATCTCTCCTAGACCCTCTCCTCCACCACGCAGGAACCGGAGTCTGAGCACCGCTGCAATACTGGCTCCAGCATGGAGAAGTCGGGCCCACCTGTGACCGGAGAATCCCACCCCACCCCCCAGCAAGTGACACTGTTGCAAACCAGCATGACATCACAAACCAAGAAGTGACATCGCAAACCAGAAAGTGACCTCGTTGGCAGGAAATCTGCAACTAAAATGGATCTGGGGGCTGCGGAGAGCCGTACAGCCGTGGGTTTGCCAAGTCGGGCGACCTGGCTCACCGCTCCAAGAGCCGCGGCGGTGACCACCTGGTTCCATCGTCCCCCCTCGAAGACCTTGGCTGAATATTGCTCAGAAACGCTTTTCCCTGGTTGCATCGTCCTCCTCCCGGGTGTCTGTCTGGCTCGCCGCTGGGTTTGGGCCCTGCTTCCTTCGGGCCCTTCCTCACTAGTGCTCAGCGAGCGAGGGCGGCAGCTACCTCGTGTTCTGGAGCTCCTCCCGCAGCCAGGTGGGCAGCGTCTGGCCCATTTTGTACAGGAGCTTGGAGAGCTCGATATTGTGGTCCCTGTAGTAATCCCGCAGGAAGGCTCGCGACTGCAGCGGGGAGAGAGCGGGAGCCGCCGTCAGCAACAGCAGCAGCAGCACGCTGTGAACTACCTGCACTCAGGGTGGCCGGCTGTTCACTGGATACCCACCAAACCCCCCGTGCCCTCCTTGCATAAATCAGATGCATCCCAAAGGCCCCGCACAGCTGGCGTAGATGCCCACCCATTCACTGCGATCACCCTGACGTGCCAGCGAAGCCAGCAAACACCCCTCCCTTTTAGCAGCAAGAGGTCCGGGATACTCACATCCGAATCCATCTCGGGGTACTTCCTCCCTTTGCTTTTCCCCAAGCACTTGGTTTTCCCTCCCTCCAGCAGCTGGCACCAAAATCCTTTCTTGGGATCGAATCTACAGATGATGAGAGGGGCAAAAAAAAAATCAAGGCTGTTAACAGAAACATGCCACGAACGGGCTTGGCACTCAGATTGCTCTCGGTGCGGGAAATGCTGTCAGCAGGGGGATGCCCCATCCCTCCAGGCCCTCGCTGGCCCTTCAGGGCGCACCCTGAGCAGCACGGAGGCCATGCATGGATTTCTGCAGGGAACTCAGCTGTGGTAACGAGGTGCCGTGTTTTAATGGCTTAAACACCCAGGGTGGGATTCTCTGAATGACAAATGGACATCGCTTGGCAAGCAATAGCCTGTGCATCGTGAGCTGCAAAGGAGGGGAAAGACTGTAATAATCCCCCCCACATTCTGTCAATGGGACAAAATGTTATGTTAGTAGGACTCCCCAACCCCACCCCTGCCTGGCTCCCCACCATACAGAGAAGCATCTCAATTGCTGTGCCTTGAACCCCGTGCTCAAGTCCTCCCGATTCTCCTGCGCAGATAGCACGGTAACGATCAACATGCCAGGAATACAGCAATGCAAAGTGCAGAGCCGGGCAAGGGGAGCAGGGCTGAGGCAGGATGTGCCTTGGTCAGGACATGCGGACCTAGGGGGCACACGTTTTGGGGAAAAGGGCTGATTTCTCCTCCACCAGCTCCTGCTCACCACACCCCAGCAGGGAGGGAGCGCTCAGGTTAGTGTCTTAAGCCCCCCCAAAGTCAATAAAAGCTTCATCATTGCCTTGGGGGTGGAGGGACAGGATTTTGCCTCTGGCCCTGCCCTAAGCTGACTCCACTCATAGCAGCACATTGCCTCCTTAAGAAAGAACACCCCAAGAAGAGAAAACCTGACCAGAGTGATGGGGACAAGGCCTTGAGGAGGAAGAGGAAGGTCTGAGGAGGACTCACGCCAGGGTTTTGTGGTAATCAATGATGTTGGTCACGCCCAGGAACTTCTGGACCGTCTCCATCACCTTGGCTGGCTCTGTGCGGAGCAGCTTGCCATCCAGAACCAGGACCTGCAGGGTGAGAGCAGGACCATAAGGGCTGGGCTGGTCCGGGAGGTCACTCACCCCACATCAGCTGAGTGCTAACTACTGTCATTACTAGCTGAGCGGTCATTTTGTCCCCAGCCCAAGGAGAAGGTCCTATGGAAACTACGATCTATCCCAGGTCCCTTTAGGGGACCTGTTTTCTACATCTTGGCCCTCCACACACCTGCGAGGGGGAGCCGTGCTCTCATCCCATCTGTGAAGAGGAGGAACTGGAGCTTGGGGGAAAAAGAAGCCAGGGCTAGCAAGGGCAAAGCCTCCCTGGGGTAACTGCTTGGAAGCTGCAGACAGCTCTTTTGCAGAAAGAGCCAGGGGTAAAATTAAACTAGAGTAAGTATTGTGTGCCTATGGCTTATCCCAGGATAGCTATTTGCTCCCTGCTACTAGGAGGTGATAGCTGCCCACTATGCAGAGCCCGCTGGGCTGCCCCATGTCTGTGCGCTTTGGGTTCCAGTGTGCAACACCAGACATGCATCTCACAGGAGGATTTGGTCACCCAGCTAGGGCTGGAGACAAGGAGAAGCAGGGTATGAGCTCCCCACCGCTACCCTTCGGGACATGGCAAATCCAGAGGCTGAGGCGAACCGACTGAGCTGAGAAGGACTTGGAGAGGAGTTTGTGCCCCAGCCAGAAGCAATCCCGGGTTGCACAACTATGCCATCATGCTCATTTCCCAGTCCCAGCTCCTCCAAGCACCAAACGAGGGCTGAGGAGAGGCAGGACTTGATCTAAAAGGTGCCTGTGAATCCCCTGGCTGCCCTCGGACCACAGGCTCCAGCACAGGCTGGGCGCCGGTGCCTTCCTGCCTGACGCAGGGGAGCTCTCCGCAACCCACTGCTTGCAACAAAGGCACAGACCGAAGCTCCCCTCACCCATACCTGGTTGGCATGGAAGTTGTTCAACCAGCGCTCGATGTGGGTGGCATACCAGCCCGGCACCAGGCACCGGTTCTGCAGTGTCCGCAGCTTCTGCGAGACCTCGGGTCCAGCCGTGATCACTTCGTGGAAGGTGTATTTCAGAGCCACCGGGTCATCGTGGGCTCGCTGGTGCTGTCAGAGCAGAGCAAGCCAGTTCAGTGCCTGGAGCAAACCCCGCAGGCGGAGGGGCTGGGAACCCAGGCTGCACAGGAGCTGAATGCTCAATGCCAGAGGTTTCTGAGAGCTGGCACCGTCACCAAGCTCTCCCTGCCGCCTCGCCCTTCTCAAGACCGGCATCCCCCCTCCCACGGGCATCCTCCACATCTGTGCCAAGAGCTCGGGGAGAGCAGAGCCACTCACCTGATACCAGGAGTAGGCACGGTCTGCAGGGTTGATGAGGATGGTGATGACCTTGGCCTTGGAAAGCAGCGCGGCTGCCCGCCGGGGCGCCACTTCTGAGTCGAAGTAGTTGGCGCTCTTCTCGAAGTAGAAGTCGGAGGTGGTATTGGAAGGGATGGGGAAAAACTCCATGTACCTGCGGGGAGGAGGGTGGCATGAGGCAGAGCAGGACCGAGACGCACACCCGGCTCCTTCCCTTTGTGGGCACTGAAACATTGGGAGCTCCTAACCTGACACACGTTACTGAAGGGTTTCCCATGCCCCTGCTACAAACAGCCAAGTCATGCCTGTCTGAACAGGGAGGGAGTGGGACAGACGCCTAGGGAAGCTGTGGACCCTCCATCATTGGAGGTGACCAAGAAAAGAGACGTGTGTCAGGGTTTCGGGGGGTTTTGAAGCCTTCCTCAGAGGCACTGGGTGTTGGCTGAGGCCCAGGCTGGGGATGGTGACCAGGCTGTGCCAATGCTGCTGCTGGAACCAAAGCTGGAGGATCCTGGCTAGAAGACCTTACCCCTCCACCCAGGGTTAGACCAAGATTTGGGGTCAGGAAGGAATTTTCCCCTATGGTCAGACTGGTATGAACTGCGGGGAGGGTTCGTCTTCCTCTAGCAGGCTCGTGGCCCTATACCTGGGATTTCTCGCGTGTATATTAACAACTCTTTATAGAAGCAGGACGTTGGCTGCTGCAGTCCCCTGGCTTTCCCTGTGTCGGGTTCAGGGGTGATGTCTTATGTCGTGTCAGGACTGCCGGTAGTTTTACTAAGAGGTTAGACTATGGATGGTTTGGACGGGGCTGATCCTGCCTCAGGCAGGGGGTTGGACTAGATGAACTCTGGAGCTCCTTTCTAATCCAACTTCTCTAGGAGTCTACAAAGCCACCAGCCAGGCACTCGAAGCCCTGCTACCCCATGCAAGCAAGGCTCTA